ATCAATCAATCGCTCGTGAAATAGTCAAATAAATCAAAAGGCAGATACGAGCAGTAAAATACAGGTTGGTCGTGTATAAAAAGTTGTCTTTATTCAATAAATAGACGTTTCGGTCACACAAGTTTGGACCTTCTTCAGTATGAAAAATTAAAGTCTAACAAGAAAAAACAAAAGAAATAACAATAAATAAAATAAGCGCAAAGCGAACATACTAGAAAATTAAAAATAATATATGAATAAAACTCACTTAAATAAGAAGAAACATTTTATAGTACACTACATCACTGACAAATAAATGAAATGATGTCAATAAATTACAATAATACAATGTGTACTGGCAAGAAAACGTCTATTTATTGAATAAAGACAACTTTTTATACACGACCAACCTGTATTTTACTGCTCGTATCTGCCTTTTGATTTATTTGATCAGAATTATATTGCTTTGTGGGTCACAACTATTTCCTGCAACGATAATTGTGTTGTTTTTATTAAAAAACTTTTAATTTCGGATATTTATATTTTTTCAATATATATTGAACGTTTATTAGTAGAACTTTGGTCGTGGACAAACTTTTGCGTTTAACATGATAACTTGTTTCGTGTGTCGCGATGAGCGATTCGTCGTAGCACAGGCAGGCAGGTTATTGGGTTTTTTTTTTTATACGCGAGCATTCAGTTTCTTCGAGATTGTTCCTTGTTTAGGCGCTTTATTGAGAAACTCTTGATCTCTCTCCCGTCATCTAGGTTCCTCGGGCAAGCGAGGACCTTTTTCCTTACCGATTGCGGTTGATTGGATACCTCCTTTCGACCGCAAGAAGCAAGCTGATCCATGCACTTACGCAAATTTATTACGCAACCTCTCTATCAAAGAATTGAACTTCGACATTTAGATTGTAAAAAATAAAAATGAAAAAAAAAAAAGATTAAAACTTTATCGGGGGTTAATGTTCTTTTCTCAATGTAGAAATAATATAATTTTTTTAAATGCGATTTAATACACGAAAAATTTTTTTACATTATTCTTTCGAGTCGTATGTTATTGCGCCAAAAATTTTGGATAATTTGTGTCATCGTTAATTTTGGAGATTTTACTTTAAAATTTAAAGGGAGAGAAATTTTTTTCTTGTTATTGACGTTCTCTCGGCAGCGTTTATCGTCACGCACGCAGGTGCGTGATCTGTTTACAGGCTCACACACAGGTAGATTTTGATCGTCTTCTTTTCTTTCTTACCTGTTGGGGTCTACAGAGCTTGACAAAAGACTGGTTCTCCATCCCCTTTCTCCGCCCTTTCCAATCTTCCCCGTGCTTTCGGCGTATCTTTTCTTTTTGCTTCGATCGCTTTATTCTGTTTAATAACATATTTTTTTTTTTTTACTATTTATCAGAAAAAAGAATCTGTACGTGAAATTAAATTTAGAATTGAGCGGAAAGTTGAAATTTTTTCATTGTTTCAATAGCAAGAACGAACGCTGATTGTTTCTTTTTTTTTTTTAATTGAAAAAATATTCTAGACGAACGTGGGTCCGATATTGGTTTGTGTAAATCCTTATACGGACGTCGGAAATCCGTTAACACTAACGAGTACCAGATCGGTACCGCTGGCGCCTCAACTGAACAAGGTCGTCCAGGAAGCTGTAAGGCAGCAATCGGAAACCGGATATCCACAAGCAATTATTCTTTCTGGTAAAATAAAAAATCCTTACGGAGATACAGATTCTCTTTGCTTTCTGTTTAAAAAAAAAAAATGAAAAATGAACAAATAAATAAATAAATAGTTTTTTACTGAATTGTCTTTTGCAGGAACAAGCGGTTCTGGAAAAACGTACGCTTCGATGCTGTTACTTAGACAACTCTTCGACGTAGCCGGTGGCGGACCGGAAACAGACGCTTTCAAACACCTAGCGGCAGCTTTCACAGTTCTCAGATCCTTGGGCTCAGCGAAAACTGCCACAAACTCGGAAAGCTCAAGGATAGTAAGTAACTTTGTTTCGAAATGCGTGAGACAGAAGAAAAAAAAGAAAGAAAAAGGAAAGAAAGAAATTATGGAAGAAAGTTTATGAAAACAATGATAGGTAATATTTAATAAATTAGCAATATTCTCTCAAATATATTATATAACATATAAAATACGTTGTAACAATAAAAAGAACACAATAATATCATATTTGAAAATAAATATTCGAATAACCAGACTGGATTTTCAGGGTCATTTTATCGAAGTTCAGGTAACAGATGGTGCTCTGTACAGAACAAAAATTCATTGTTACTTCTTAGACCAGACTAGAGTGATACGACCGTTGCCGGATGAAAAAAACTATCATATATTTTATCAAATGTTAGCCGGACTGTCTCACGATGAACGAGGTAATTTAAATTGGATGATTAATGTGTATTGCAATTAATAACAGGACGTCACATGTGTTCTCTCAAATTTTTACAGTCAAATTAAATTTGGAGGGATACAATCTCAAAAACTTGAGATATCTCCAACACGGAGATACGCGACAAGACGAAGCCGAAGATGCCATACGATTTCAAGCCTGGAAAGCTTGTTTAGGTATTTTGTTTTTTTTTTTTTTTTTTTTTGGAATAAACTTGTATAAAAACAATAATTTAAATACTCAACACAGTAACAAATTTTTGTAAAACAATTAAAAAACAATCCATATATATATATATATATATATATATATATATTGTAAGATTTTCAAACTTTAATATTTGAACGAAAGAGAGATGTAAAAAGAAGTATCTTAAAAAACTAATTTGTACTTGATCCTCGATCTCTCGTTCTCTCTCTCAGGCGTTCTGGGAATTCCGTTTTTGGACGTCGTGAGGGTGCTGGCAGCGGTGCTCATCCTCGGAAATATCGGCTTCACAGACAGTCCCGGTTCTGGTGTGGAAGTAGGCGTGATTGGTGAAAACGAGTTATCCTCCGTAGCTGCACTCCTGGGAGTCTCCCCGCCAGCCTTGTTACGAGGACTCACCTCGAGGACTCGCAACGCGCGCGGCCAGGTCGTTAAATCCGTCTGCGACGCCAACATGGTACTGCTATCAGACTTTGCTGATGAGATGAAGCAGTGATGAGCAACTTCCCCATCTTGCGAGTTGGGATTCACGGATCAAGAGACTCTTTGATCCTGGAATCTCTAAAACATCACAAATTTTGATCCCCGAGACACTAGCTGCTTGTAGATTGCAAAAAATCTTAAACTACCTCCGTACGAGCTAGTCAATTCATACAAGTAAAAACTTAAGTTTGTAAATTTTTTTGTGAGTTTTTATTTTTTTCTTTTCTTTAATTTAGAATTAAATTTGAAAAGTTGCTTGACACTGCGATTATTATTAAGTATCGACATTGAAAAATATACATATTTTGAGGAACAAACTTTTGTTTTGTGCAGTCTAACATGACCAGGGATTCATTGGCGAAAGCACTTTATTGCCGTACCGTAGCCACGATAGTGCGACGAGCAAACAGCTTGAAGAGACTTGGCTCGACTCTCGGTACTCTTTCGTCGGATTCAAACGAATCGGTTCACAATCAAGCAGAAGTCACCAGCCAACACGCCTCCACTGTCGGTAGTTCAGCAGGTCATTAACAAAAACAACTGTGTATTAACTATTAAAATATTAGAATATTTCATTCTAATTATATAATTTACATCAGTCTGTAAATAATAATAATTTTAATAATAATTAAATAATAATAATTTTTAATAATAATAATAATAATTAAATAACTAATATATGTTATTATAAAATTCAAAACAATTATTGTTGCAACAAAAGTTAAATATAATTAAAAATTGCGCGCATTTAATTTACAAGGAAAATCGATATTGACTTTTTGGAATTGCAACATGTATATGTAAAACCTAGTGTTCTCGTAGCCGTGAAAGGCTAAAGAGAGAAAATTTTTCAGGAGGAACAGGATCCAGGAGCATGACTGCCCTGAATAATGCCGTGCGGCATGCCACGGACGGTTTCATCGGTATCCTGGACATGTTCGGTTTCGAGGACCCTAAGCCCAGCCAGCTGGAGCACCTCTGCATCAATCTCTGCGCCGAGACGATGCAGCACTTCTACAACACTCACATATTCAAAAGCTCCATCGAGAGTTGCCGCGACGAAGGCATCCGATGCGACGTTGAAGTCGACTATGTCGACAACGTGCCATGCATTGATCTCATTTCTTCTTTGGTATAACATTTTTGGGAATATAACAATCGTTTGCTCAACTTAAATCCTCTCGTTCTCTCGAACAAAATTATCGTAATAATAAAAAAACCAGATATTATTTTTCACGCCGAAAATAAAAAAGATTTTTTTGTTATCTTTAAAATCTCGCGAACTTTCTTTGAATATAATGCACCACCTGGTCTTTTATCGATGAAGTGACTTGTTTTTTTTTTTTTTTTTTTAAATTAACGAGCGGATTTGATTTTAAATCGCAATTTCTCGCGATGTCATTGTTAATAAAAGCGATGTTCATTTCTATTTATAGCGCACCGGATTGCTAAGCATGTTAGATGTAGAAGGTTCTATACCCGGGACCGCAGAAAGTTATGTCACCAAAGTGAAGGTGCAGCACAAGCAGAATCCTCGACTATTCGAGCCAAGAACCGTCGACTGCAGGTCCTTCGGTATTCAGCACTTCGCGGGAAGAGTCATTTATGACGCCTCGGATTTTCTGGGTACGCAGGAGCGTTCTCTTCTATATTATACGTTTCGCAAATAGTTCTCACACAATCCGAGAATATTATCTATTATGTAATAATATAATCGGATTCGAATTCTTCTTTGTAATTGGCGCGATCGACAATTTATTCTTTTTAAAGACACGAACAAAGACGTTGTTCCCGACGATCTGGTCGCGGTTTTCTACAAGCACACCTGCGGCTTCGGCTTCGCCACGCATTTGTTCGGAAGCGAATTGAAAGCGCTCTACACGAACGAAACCGTGCCGAGAGGTGTCAGTTTTCGAATATCGCCGACTTCTCACACCGATCTGTAAGTAAGATCGACAACGCCGCGATGTTGTTTTTGTCATTTATTTATAATCGGGTAAAAACATTTGAAATATCATCGAATAAAATAATAATAAATTTTATTCGAACGAAGAAAAACTTTTGTTCGCAAGATAAGTTTGTTTTGTTGTTGAGCAAAAACTTATTTCGTTATTACGAACAATTGTTCATTCGCAGTTTGAACGGAGACGAACCAATATCGACGTTGACGCAGGACTTTCATACGAGATTAGATAATTTGCTGAGGACTTTGGTTCATGCCAGACCACACTTTGTCAGATGCATTCGAAGCAACAGCACCGAAACGCCAATGCATCTCGATAGAGGAGTTACTATGCGTCAAATACGCTCGCTGCAGGTTCTGGAGACGGTAAATCTAATGGCCGGAGGTAAGAGATAATCAAATTAATTCCACTTTATTGAAAAGATCTTCATTTATGTTTAAAAAAAAAAACTTTCATTCACATAAAATTCAATTAAATCTCGAAATCTCGATTAGACGTTAACAATTATTATTGATACAAAGACAAATCGCGATCGAATTACGCGGCGAAGCTCTAAAGATAATATTTATACGGTGATATTCGCGCGCACACACAAATAATGTATGTATGCATCCGATATAATTACCATAAACCCCATAAAGATAATATTTATGGTGATTCATGCAGGTTATCCGCATAGGATGCGATTTAAAGCCTTCAACGCGAGATATAGGTTGATCGCGCCCTTCAAGCAATTGCATCGCGCCGAGGAGCTGGCTGTCGAAGACACGAAATTGATTTTGCAGAACGCGCACCAGCTGAAGAGTAAATTTGGCGCCAGCACTAGCTGGGCTCTCGGTAAACGGCACATTTTTCTCAGCGAAGGTATCAGACAACAGCTTGAGAACTTGCGAGCGGAAACACGACGTAGAGCCGCAACAATAATACAGGTATATACATGTATATATGTATATATATATAACATATATATATATATTATATATATATATGTTATATATATTATATAATATAATATATATAATATATATTATATAT